ACACACACACACACACACACACACACACACACACACACACACACACACACACACACACACACACACACACCGGGTGACACAGTAACTGACTCTCACCTAAAACACCTAAAAGATTGCAACCTAGCAAACCGAAGTCCTAGGACTCACCCGCCCCTTTCCTGTCTTCTTTGAGACTGGGTCTCGCTAGGTAGCCCAGGCGGGCCTAAAACTCCCGGCTGCCCTGGAGCTGGAATTCCTGCGCTCCACCGCCGCCACGCCGGCTCTCCTACCAGCGTCTCGATTAGAGCCGTGCCTGGGACGGCAACTAAAGCCGCTCGCAGAGGCTGACCCCGAGATCCACGACGCTCACCACGGATCCGGGCATCTCGGGCCGAGGCCACGGCGGCGGTAACTGAAGGGCTCAGCCAACCATTCTAGAAGCGACCTGAGACCCGCATCCACACGCAATCGCGCGGGTCCTCCGCCCGCCCCCCGGCCCGCACAGCGCGGGCCCTCCCGGCAGGGACCCCCGGCTCCCCGCGGAAACCCGCCACGCGAGCCCGGGGCTGGCGGCGCCCCGCAGGCCCCGCCACGCCCCTCCTCCCTACCGGTCGTAGAAGGGATGCTCCTCGCCGAAATCGCGAAGATGCTTCTTCTGCTTTTTCGTCAGGGTACTGAGCAGCTGGTTCTGGCTCCGGCTTCGGCGCTTGCCCATGGCGAAGACGCCGGGAGCCGACAACCCGGTGCCACCGGGAAGTCAACACACGCACGTGGACTTCGCGGCAGCGGCGGCGCTTTGCGGCGGAAGCCCCATGCCGTAAAGCAGACCCGCTTTGCGACGTGACTGTACAACCGGGCGTGAGAACGTCTATAGGGGGATTCTGCCCCCTGCCGGGACGCTGCGAAAGCGCACGCGTGCTTGCGCATGCGCGCTCGCACAGGTGTCCTTGGAGCCCCAGAACTTGTTCAGCCCAGGCTTGCGGGAGGTGGGGTTTGGAAGGTAGGCGTCAGATAAGAGTTGGAATTTGCTTTGTGCCTCTCCTTTGGCTGTGGGAACCCACCTGCGTAAATATGTAGCTAACAGAAAAGATTCACATCATACTATACCAAAAATTACCAACATCTAGGGTAGGTGTTATTTGGGGGGTGTGGGCATATCTCAAATGACAATAGGTCCTTGTGCATTAGCCTGATGTGGCCCGTCAGGAAGCAGGTGCATAGGAGATGAAAAGCTCGGGCGGTTTCTTCGAATAGAGTTAAAACCTCAGTACCCAACAAACAAAAATCAAAATACCCTAACTTTTTTCTAGTGTAAACACATGCTTTTACCCACTAGGATCTTAACACCTAGGTGTGCTACATGAAGAGCCGGGCCTCCTGTCACATTCCCTTTCTTACTCAGCTCCCACTTTGCTGTTTTAGAAGAGCCCCTGGAACAGAATCTTTTCTAAACATTCCTCATTTGACATCCAAAGAGGAAAAGAAACATCTTGTATACAGTTACCGAAATGGATCAAGATGTACAGTTTTAAATGTTTGGGTTTTTAAGTGTGTGTAAATAATAATAGCCTAAAGAGGAGGAGGATGGAACTCAGTGGCATGAGACTTGCCTAGCATATGTGAGTCTCTGGGTTTGATTGCTAGCATGGCAGAAATTTAAATAAAGTGACTTTGGTAGTGTACTCCCGTAATCCAAGCATTCCAGAGGATCTCAATATTGAGACCAGGCTGGCCGCGTGTCAAATTCTAATCTGGGCTTCCTAGCAAAACCTTGTTTTGAAAACAAATGAGAGAAAAGCAATAAACAAAACAAGAATTGGCCTCAGGACATATAGGGCTTGGAACCCCAGGAGTTGCCTTTAAGAGTAACTTAAATATCCCATAAAAACCAAGTCTTTAATTACTGATTACAACAATGCACTCAAATACTGACGGTAAGGCAAGCCATAAAAGAGAGTGTTTATTCACGCTCTTAAGGATGCTTCTGAGGAACATCAGTACCATGCCACACCATGCATGGTGTAATAACATTTCTAGACTATTATTGTCAATTTAGGAGTATACACATACTTAAATTCTGAGAGGCCAGTGTGGAGAAGAGAGGACAGTGCATGAGAATATGTAAACATAAGCAAACAGGGCAAATAGTGCCTAGCAGCTGGCCCAGCCAAGGACTCTATAAATAGACATCTGGCTTCAAGATACAAGATACAGTCACTTAGCTCCATAAAACGGCCGTTTGCAAAATGTCATCATGTAATTTTATGGCACGGATCACAGTACAACCTGATTATAACAATAAAGAACCATACTTTTTCCTTCTTTCACCATAGTCCAAGTACCTCAGCTTCCCTCTCCAGAAACAACAGTTGCTTTGTTTTGTTCCAGAGATCTACACAAAGCTATATAGACTTTTGGGGCTGGGAAGGTGGCTCAGTGGTAGAATACTTGCCCTGCATGCTTGAGGCCCTGGGTTCGATTCCTCAGCACCACATAAGCAAAAAGAAAAAGACTGGAAGTGGCACTGTGGCTCAAGTGGTAGAGTGCTAGCCTTGAGCTGAAGAGCTGAGGGACAGCGCCCAGGCCCAGAGTTCA